TGCTGTAATGTTAATCCAAGAAAATGAAAGAAAGAAAATCACTCCCTGCTCTTGGAAGAATTAATCCACAGTCAAACCAACAATTATTCCGACACCAGATATTATTTTATTTTATTTTTTTTACTTGTGGGTGCAGGACACTATAGTTCATTTATGTAAGTGAGGATAGCAGAATAAAGTAAACTGTGACATATTATACCCAAAAATTCTTCATACAGTGGACTACCAGTAAAATTGCAAAAAAATTTGCAACCAAAAATTATTCAGACACTTTGACCTGACCATGTTTTGCTTAAGTGTTTTTTCTTTAATTGCTAATGTGACCTTTTTACACCACAGACTGAACAAAATTAACATTGCTTGGTAATCGGTCAACAAAGTATTGATAGTTGTGTAAATATTGAGTTGTCTTTTGGTTGATTGTAATGCGTTACATACCTTTCTATCAAAGTTATCTGACATTATCAAGCTAAATTTGTTCTGACACAGTTTAACTCTGAGTTCTTGTCATATTTTATTACCATTTTCTAAACTATAGCGAATAAACTGTGATAATGTGAGAAACGTTGAAGGTGTCTGAATAAATTTTGGTTTGACTATATATTTAATTTTTACAGTGAAGACTATGCACTATTTTACATTTGATTATTCGGTGACACCTACAAACTTGAAAAAACTTAAATACTGTGTAAATAGCACAAATAAATAAATAGAATGAAAATACAAATTAAGCAATTTCAAACAGGGTCCACTGGTACAACCTGCACTGGGGCCCCGCAAACCCCAGCTACGGCCCTGTTGCTAAGGTATGTGTTTTAGCATGTTACTATGTGTGTGTGTGTGTGTGTTTAGCTCATTTTCTTTCTATTTTATTGTCAGAATCCTCTCCTCTCTTATGGTTTCAGCTGTATTTCTTATCCTCCTCCTATTGCTCATTTTCTCTCCCTCTATTTCTGTGCATTTGTCCTTGTGGGATCAAGTATCTCAGCATACACAGAGCACTGTTAACAACAATGAGGGCTGGTTGAGACTCTGTGTGTTTAAGTGCAGGGTGTCAGAAGAAAAGGTCTTGTGTATGAGTGCTGGGTGAGAATGAAGGTGGACAGTGAGACTGGAAACTAGTTAAAGACGAACAGGAGATGTTTCAGACCTACCTTTGCCCAAAGAATGTGTGTGAACCTCCAAGAAACTCACAAGCGATCAGACAGGTGCGCGAGTCATTTGAATGAATCGGTGTCTCTGTCCCGTTTCAGACTCCACCCATCCACATCTGCCACTGCTTCTCACAGGATTTACTGAATAAACTGTGGGAAAATGGTTTAATTAAATATTATACGGCTCCCAAAATACTTTATTGTGATTGTCTAATGACACCATTTTGGGATTAAAATGAGAGAGACAAAGAAAAAAAAAAACATTCTCTGGCTTTAATCCAGAATTGATGCATGTTGAGCTTACATAAAAAAAAAAAACTATTTTCCAAAATACCCTCTGTAAAAATCTTTAACTCTATAGTAATATGTGGTAATACGGTATTCCAAATGTATTGTGCAAGATTCTGGATGTGCATCTTGTTTTAAAGCTATAGTGAATGGATTGGGGGCTCTTTGACACAATGGAGCGGTTCATGATCGCTATCGAGTCGGGACAGGATTTCGCTCTGCTGATAAAGAAAATTATTTTATTACCGTAACTCTGACCTTGTTTTTACTGACTTTTCTCTATGAGGATCCTCCCGATTTTTCATCATCATCATCAAACTTTATTACAGACTCAAGGTCCAATTTTTAACATACAGTGGGTAGAAAAGAATCACCCCCCTTTAAAATAATACAATTTTGTTGCTTTGCAGTCTGAAATGAAGACGGACACAGTTTTTGTTTTATCCAGTTGTATTTACTCAGTGCAACTTATAGCATCCAAGTGAAAGATATAACGACAACATGTCAGAAAAATAAATAAATAAATAAACAGGGGGTGATTCTTTTCTCACTGTATAAGACCATATGCAAGAACTAACACACACAAATAATAATTAGACCATTGAATGAGACGGACTTTGATATATGTTTATCTACCGAATACAGCACATCAAGATTCAGTTTCAGCCCATCATTAGTATATAACCTCATCAACAATCATCAGAGCATGCCGGTATAGTGCATGGGTCAGATAAAGGTGTTCAAAGCGTAATAAATAATACATCTCTTTTCTGAGGTACCAAACAGAAAACCGTTGGGCTGGAAAAACAGAAATGGGAGTGCACACGCTTACTGCGAGTCATGCATGTGAATCGCATTATTACGAGCAAATGACAAATTATGTTAAAGACAAAGAGAAAGAAAAAACTTTCAGAGCTTTATCAACAATATTCACTGCTTAAATCCCTGAAATGATGAGATGAACCCGTGGCCCTCATCTACTGTAAATTCATACTAAAGCTCCCCCTACTGGGGCCAACAGAGATGAACACACAATCCACGGCAGACAACACACAAACGACACATACAGAAAGAGCCGATTGAGACTTTTTATTCTGGGTTTCTCGGTTTAACTTTTAATACTCTGTGTTTGAAAGCGAATGAGGATAATGGAGAAGCATACAGAGAGGTGATCACAACGAGGCGATCTGAAAGGTCAGTGAAATAGCCTACTTTTACCCAGAAATCACATCATGATGGATAATAATCAACAAACAACATCTGTAACTGAAATTATTTAAATATCGCCAATAGAAACTAGACCATATCGTTAAATAACATCAAGGCCTGCCTGAGGATGAAGGTATCACCCTTACGAAAATCAACCATGGTTTTACTACCTATAAAACCAAAAAAAAACAGGGTTACTTAAACCATGGGAACCACAAATTAACCATGGTTTTGCTACACTAACCATAGTTTAACCATGGTATTTGTAGTAAAACTATGGTTATACAAATGGTAATCAATATGCCAAAAAACCATGGTTACTACACTTTTACTGTAGTAAAACCATGTTAATTTTCGTAAGGGCAGAACCTTCTGCCTCCTTCCAAAACTTCCAGAACATTCATAAACTTCTCTTTAAAAGAACCAGATACCTCGATCTCTTTACGACACTACTCTCAAAGGAATAGTTCCCCTAAAACAAAAATTGTCATCGTTTACTCGCGTTCAAAACCAGAATGTCGATAACTATAAAAAGTCTTAATAATCGTTCTACGAGGAAGTTCCAAGCACAAATATAACGATAACTTTTTCAGAACGATTTAAACATTGACAGCCAATCAGAATCCACCCAGCGAAATCGCGCGGGCTTTTAAAGCGGCAGAAGACATAGCGGAAGCGCGCGCTTATAATAAACAGACCGTTATTGTCTGTTGGTGTGGACGCGGATATAGTTATCGTTCTTGGTGTGAACCGGCCTTAGACTCATATTAGGGTCTGTTTTTCACAATGTCTTAAAAACACCCAGGAGTCGTAGAGACTTCTTGACAGACCCTGGTCATCTTCTGCTCTAGACATGCAGAATATCATAGGTTTGAAACGACATGAGGGTGAGTAAATGATGACAGAACTTTATTTTTGAGTGAACCGTCCCTTTAAATTCCAGGTGTGCGAACATAACAAAACTCTTACAACACTGTCTTGTATGTACCTGGTCTTTAAAGTCGGTTTTAAGGCAAACCTGGTTTTCCTCGTTCAGCTCTTTGACTAGCAGAAACCTTTCCGGTCAGTACAACACATACACTCTGCCATTACATCTTTGAATTCATTTACTGGCTTTGGTTGATAATTTTGGCACAAACTCTCCAAATAAAATGAAAACAGATAATGAATTTGCCTCTGAACAGTGAAGACATACATCATAAGCGATATTAAGGGGTAAACATGACAACATAACATACAGATATACACAAATTCTGTGTGAAGACTATTTAGTTGTTCTCACAGTTTCATATTAAGAAGACAATGGACAGCAGTAGTGCTTTTGGGAATCTTAAAATAAAGGATATTAATGTCTGTAGAATAAACGCAGCATGCATCTTCACAAGCGCTCTTTAGCATCAACAAACACATTTTAATATATATATTTTAGCATGTTGGAAGGTTTTATTTGGCACAGTGCCAAATAGCACACGTGCTAAAGTCAACATGAAACTGTGTTTATAACCCATTTTACTTTTACATTGTGACTGCAGCTATTTGACTTATTTCTGACCTAGATTACATCATCTGAAAACGAAAGTTGTTTCAGAGGCGGAGCAAGTTATTATATTTCAATGAAAGATCATAAAGATATTCTTTGGCATAACATGCACTGGTGAATCATTCACAACAACATGTATTAGGAACATAAATAGGGTTGATTTAATTCCATGTTGACTTCAGACTCATCATATGAGATGCATATAGGAGGGTTTGACATCCAAATTGGAAATAATTTGAGTGACAGCGAGATTAACCCCCCCCACCACCCCATTACACGTCCTTAACAGAGTGGATGTAAAACAAATATGATGTTAAAGCTAGCAGACAGAAAAACAGAGAGGGGAAACGAGGGATATTGCTAACTCCCTCGCAAACAAACACATTTTAATATATATATTTTAGCATGTTGGAAGGTTTTATTTGGCACAGTGCCAAATAGCACACGTGCTAAAGTCAACATGAAACTGTGTTTATAACCCATTTTACTTTTACATTGTGACTGCAGCTATTTGACTTATTTCTGACCTAGATTACATCATCTGAAAACGAAAGTTGTTTCAGAGGCGGAGCAAGTTATTATATTTCAATGAAAGATCATAAAGATATTCTTTGGCATAACATGCACTGGTGAATCATTCACAACAACATGTATTAGGAACATAAATAGGGTTGATTTAATTCCATGTTGACTTCAGACTCATCATATGAGAAGCATATAGGAGGGTTTGACATCCAAATTGGAAATAATTTGAGTGACAGCGAGATTAACCCCCCCCACCACCACCCCATTACACGTCCTTAACAGAGTGGATGTAAAACAAATATGATGTTAAAGCTAGCAGACAGAAAAACAGAGAGGGGAAACGAGGGATATTGCTAACTCCCTCGCAAATCTAAAGCTACATTTGGGGGCTTGGAGAAAATGAGAGGAAAGAAAGAGAACAAGACAGATATTCAGAGCGTTTATAAATCGCTCTCTCCGTAAAGGGCACTGGAGAAGGAGATGTAATCCAGGGCTCCAGGGGACGCATCGGGGCCGGCGTACTTGGTCATGCGGCAGATGCAGTACTCGGCCTGCTCGGGTGGGAGTTCACGACGAAGCTCCTCCACAGTGATATAGGACTGAAAGACAAGAAGAGACACTTTTACACCAACTCTCACTGTTTTGTTTTGTTCAGTACTAAAATTGGTACTAAAAACATGTACAAATAAACATTGTGAATAATTAATTCTGAATCCTCCCTGAAGTGTTCAGACACTATGGCAAGCCATTTAAACATTTAATCCTTGAAACATACTATTTTCATGTTACTTGTGCATATTTTTTTTAGCTGCTAGTATCCATTCCATTAGGCAATAGTACTTATTCATTAACTACTAGTGCTTATTCTTTAGGTACTTTTTTTTCATTCATTTGATACTAGTACCTATTAAATAGACACTAGTACTTATTTGTTAGATACCGTATTGACCCGAATATAAGACGACCCTGATTATAAGACAACCCCCCTTTTTCCAGATGTACCTTTTGGAAAACGGCTTTTTAAAAACCAAATCTTGTTTTTTTCTCAGTAAAACACATTTTGTCTTCAATTATTTTCATATCGCATATTTTTCCTATTTTAATTTTTGTTTTGAAAGTATGGTAAAAACTGGTAAAATGTACCAACAATCACATTTAAAAAATATACACTTTTTGATATACCATTAAAAAAACAAAACAGGTAGCCCATCTGAATTAGGACATTTAGGCTATCCGTCTAATAGTAGCCTACCAAAATCTTATTAACAGTAGAAGATAAATCTTACTGTAGTCTTCAAACCGGGGGGTCTTACGTTTTAAAATCACAAAGGGAGTTTGGTCCCATCAGGCTAACGTGACAGTCACGACTCATGCAGCTGTAAGGTTTTCTTTTTCTTTAGTTTTTACTCGCGATCTTTACAACACGCATTACATTACGTATTTCATGGCACACTTGTTTTATGCGTATTTGGCGCCACCTATTGTTGTGGGTGTATTATTGACAAGTTAAAGTCTAGACCCTGAATATAAGACAACCGCGTTTTTTTAGATGTATTTCCAAGAAAAAACATAGTCTTATATTCGGGTCAATACGGTACTAGTGCTTATTAGATACTAGAACTTATTCATTAGATACTAGTACCTATTTCAGTAGTGATTAGTAACTATTCTGTTGTTACTAGTAACACTTAAAATTTTTGCCATTGACTTCTATGGGGATTAGTCATTCACATATCAACTATTCAGTTTGACCAGTATCTATTCCATTTGTGACTAGTACACAAATAAATGTCTTATTTATTAGTAGCTATTTATTAGGCACTAGTACTTGTTTTAGATACAAGTACCTATTATTAGATACTAGTGCTTATTTATTAGATACTTGTACCTATTAAATAGATAATGCTACTTATTATTAAATACTAGTACTTAATGATTAGCTACTAGTACTTATTCCAGATGTTACTGGTAAGATTTTTTATTTTATTTTACTAAGTACTACTATCTAATGAAAATAAATATTATTTAATAAATAAGTACATGTATCTGATGAATGCTTACTATTAATTAAAAAAAAAAAAGATACTAGTCGCTATTGGAATACATACTACTCAGAACTGAATTGTTGGTATCTCAATGACCGATCCCCATAGAATTCAATGGCAAAAATGTAAAATTTGTTACTAGTAACAGTCGAATAATTACTAGTCTCTGTTGAAATAAGTGCTAGTATCTATTAAATAAGAATTAGTATCTAATTAATGTACAAGTATCTTTAAAAAAGTTACTAGTGCCTAAAGGATAAGCACTAGTAGCTAATGAATAAGTACTAGTACCTAATGGAACAGTAGCAAAAAAAAATAAAAAATCAATCAGTACTAGTAGCATGAAAATAGATATTAGTATGTTTTAAGGATTAAATATTAAACAGCTTTCAATATTAGTACTAGTAACTAAAACATAAGAACTAGTATCTAGTACTAGTCTCTTTTAAAATGTACTAGTACCTAAAGGATAAGCAGTAGTAGCTAATGAATAAGTACTAGAACCTAATGGAATAGATACTAGAAGCTAAAAAAATCAGTACTAATCACATAAAATATATATAGTACATTTAAAGGATTAAATGTTAGATTGGCCTGCCATACAGACACAAATGGATTAAAGAGAAGCAACACTGGATCTTGATCTCACCTTGTCGGAGGCCAGGATCTTGAAGGAGGCCATGACCTGTTCAGCAGTGTCTGTTTCAGCGGTCTCGCGTGTCATGAAGTCGATGAAGGCCTGGAAGGTCACCACCCCCGTGTTGTTGGGGTCCACCAGGGTCATGATGCGGGCGAACTCCACCTCACCCTGACAGAAACGACCAATCAGGTTCAAGATACACATTTAATTCTGTGCTTATTGGTGTCCAGCAAAGCACCTAGTGAGATTGAAATTAATCCTGGTAGATCTTGGCAAAATATAAATGATTCATTATGAGGTTTGCTGCAAAAATTATGCTTCATTAAAAAGAATTAAGCCTTTTAAAAAGATGCCAAATTAACAATTAAAAAAATTCGCTTTCGGCTAACAAAATATTCAACTGTGTGATAGGCCTACCTTTATTTTGGACATTTTTTATGTTGAATCATGTTTCCAAATAATATGACACAAAAATGTATTTATACTGTTGACAAAGTATTTGAGATTTAAAAAAATACACTACAGTTAAAATGTTTGGGGTCATTACGATTTTTTAAAGAAATTACTATTTTTATTCTGCAAAGATTTATTATATTGTTCAAAACTGACTTTAAGAAGACATTTTTAACGGTACAAAAATTTAAATTTCAAATAAATGCTGTTTTTCCTATTCATCAAGAAATCTCGAAGTAAATGTATCACATTTTCCACAAATATATGAGGCAGCATACAACTGTTTTCAATATTGATAAGTTTCTCAAGCAGCAAATCAGCATATCAGAATGATTTCTGAAGGATCATGTGACACTGAAGACTGGAGTAATGATGCTGAAAATTCAGCTTTGATCACAAGAATAAATTACAGTTTACAATACATTCAAATAGAAAACACTTATTTGAAATTGTAATAATATTTAACTATTTTTACTGTATTTTTGATAAAATAAATGCAGCTATAGTGAACGATCCCAAATTTATGAACTGCATGTGCCATGTAGTTTGGTAAGGATGAAGGATTTTGACACAGTGCACTTGTAGCATTGATTTAGATGGTTGTTAGTGGGCGGAGTTTTCTCGTCACTCACCAGATCGTAACCCATAGAGATCAGACATGCGCGGAAATCGTCGGGGTCCATCATGCCGTTTCTCTTCTGCAAGTTAAAAACAATAATGAGTCCCCTTGCATACGGTCACACATGAGTGTGGATGAGCATCTCACTGACCCTGTCGAAGTGGTTGAAGGAGGCTCTGAACTCGTTGAGTTGCTCCTGGCTGATGCCCTTGGCGTCGCGGGTCAGGATCTGGTTCTCCACCTCGTTGATGGTGCGAGCGATGGTGGTGAGCAGCTGCTCCCAGCCCACACGGACGTGCTGGAGGAGGGAATGACGGATGATGCCAGAAACAGTGCCATCTTGAATTGTTGCAGGCTCTTGAACATTCATCATTCCTCTCATAACACTTAAGTGTTCTGTGTGTAATGTGGATTTGTTATGCAAGCTCTGTTTAATTGTTTTAATTTTGGTAAAGGCATTATACAAATATTATTATTATTAAACTAAATATTATTATAAACACTGTCATTAAAATATATAGGGGAGGCCAGGTTTATCATTAATGAATTGTAAAAAAAAAAATAAAAAAAGTAAATTACCTTTCGTTTGTTTGCTGTTTGCAGATTTTTTTTCTTTGTGATTCATAATAGTTTTTCTATTTAAATTTAGCTCAAATGTATTTAAAAAATGAACAGAAAATTTAAAACATTAAATACATACATGTTTTGACTTTTTTTACCTTAGTTTTTATATTTTATATAAAATACAGGGTTACTGTGTGTTTTAAATGAACTTTAAAAGTGCTTTTATTTTGTATTATTTTTATTTTAGCTATATTAGCTATATTTTAAATAAAGGCATTCATCTTGAATTCAATAAAACGGTAGGTTCCCATTGTGACAACTTACCCCGCTATAGGACCAATATGTGTTTTAAATGATCTTTTAAAAAGCCCCCATAACACAAAACAAAATTTTGCACTAGCAATGATGTGATCCTTCTGAAAATGAAGCCTGTGTTTGTAACATTCATCCTCTGTATGAATACCTCCATGGTGTAGTTAGTGTGTTTGTTGTCGAAGACGAGCGCCTCCTGAATGAGCTGGTGATCTCCCTCCAGTTTGTCAATGTTGGATTTGTAGTTGATGATGTTCTGCTCGTACTGCTTCAGATTATTCATCTGTTCCTCCAGAGAGCCGGTGATATCCACCGACACGTGACCGATCTCCTAATAACAGCAAACCGAGAGAGAATAGGTGAACAAATGTACATTAGAAGAGAAAGAACAGACATCTGTAAAGAAAAAATGAAATCACAAATAAGTCAAGAAAATGTCCCAGAACAACTAAACTAAATTCTATTATGGCTGTCGAGATTAAAGTGAAATAAAACAAATAATAATAATAAAAATGACAAAAATACCAAAATGTTGACTAAAATTAAAATGAAAACTGAAAATATAAAAATAATTCTAAATAAAGTGAAATAAAAAAAAAAGCTAATAAAAATGACAAAAACACAGCAAAATGTCCAAAACTAAGAAAAATTAAAATGAAAAATATGGTCACAACTTGAAAATTGTGTTTTTGGAAATTAATGGGGGCTAAAGTGCAACCAAAATGATCAAAAATGCCCCCCAAATTCAAGATAAAGGAGCAAAAAATGCCCCAGCAGAACTAAACTAAATCAAATCTATTATGGCTATTCAGATTAAAGAAAGAGAAAGAACAGACATCTGTAAAGAAAAAATGAAATCACAAATAAGTCAAGAAAATGTCCCAGAACAACTAAACTAAATCTATTATGGCTGTCGAGATTAAAGTGAAATAAAACAAATAATAATAATAAAAATGACAAAAATACCAAAATGTTGACTAAAATTAAAATGAAAACTGAAAATATAAAAATAATTCTAAATAAAGTGAAATAAAAAAAAAAGCTAATAAAAATGACAAAAACACAGCAAAATGTCCAAAACTAAGAAAAATTAAAATGAAAAATATGGTCACAACTTGAAAATTGTGTTTTTGGAAATTAATGGGGGCTAAAGTGCAACCAAAATGATCAAAAATGCCCCCCAAATTCAAGATAAAGGAGCAAAAAATGCCCCAGCAGAACTAAACTAAATCAAATCTATTATGGCTATTCAGATTAAAGTAAAATGTAAAATGAATGAAAAGTGTCCATTCGTGGCATGTTGCATCAGATTTCTTCATTTACTGCATATGAATTTGCAAAACAAATCAGTTGATTGAAAAGAAGAGTGGATGTTTGGGAGAGCGCGTTTGATTATTGCTTTTAGTAACTTCCCAACACTAATACCAATGTAACTTCCTTAAATCTGGTTCTTCACCCCCAACATCTCATGGTTTCGTGTTGAATAAGCTCACCTCCATCTTGGTCTGAATCCAGGGTCCGATGATGTTGGCCTGAGCGGCGAACGAGCGCCTCAGCCTCTCATTGGCCTGTTGCCTGGCAACCTCCTCCTGCAGCATCTGGTCTCTATGGGGAACCAGCTGCTTCACCTGCAGGGGGCGACAGATCAGAAACACACAACTGAGTCTCTTTATGTGTCCAGAAGTGAAGTAAATGACTAGCCATGAGCTTTGGACTGTGTTTGTACTCCGTACTCACAGCCTCCCATTTGTTGGTGATGTCCTGTGGGCTGAGGACCGTGTACGGATTGACTCCGACCAGCTTGATGCCGTAGGTCTGAGCGATCTTTGTGATCTCGTTCTGGATGCCCATGATGGCTATGCGCTCCTTATCGGCTTCTGGCAGGGTGGCCTTGTACTGGTCGTGAGCTGTTATCAGACTCTGAAAGACAAATGGAGATTAACAACATTACAGGTGGAGTTAAAGGGGTACTATTATTCTTTTTCACTTTTTTCCACCTTTAGTTAGTGTGTAATGTTGCTGTTTGAGCGAGAGAAAGGACAACTTGAAATCGCATCATATGACCCCTTTAAGCGTATGTATTTAAATATTTGAAATATATTTTAAATAATTTTTGCATAAAGCTTCACACTGCTGACCTGGATTTCCTCAATGCTGTGCACGATGAACATGTCCTGCAGATCCTCCATGGCCCCATCCATCCAGTTGTTGAAGGGCGCCGCCCTCTTGGCGAACTCCAGGTACAGCTGATCAATCGTCTCCCAAAGTTTTTCTACACGCTGCAGGATGAAAGAGCAAAATCAGCTCGAACCAGTTACAAATAATGTACTTTTCTACAAATACTAGGGCTGGTTTTCCAGATGCACCTTTATAGTGGGCATCTAATATTTGGCTTCACACTGTAGCATGAGTTTGTTTGGAGTGTGTAAAATGTTTGTGCACCTCTAGAGCGTCTCTTCTCTTCTGGGTCAGGGTTCCCAGGTTGTCCCACTGGTCACAGATGCCCTGGCAGCGGGTGTTCACTGAAGCAGCATCATGATAGTCTAGCTCACTAGACAGAGAGTCAAACACATCTGAACACCTTGTATGGAGTTCCTGCATAAAGCCTGTTGTTTTAAATGTTGAACCCCATGAAAATGCCCAGGTTTTCACTCCAAAACCAAAAGAAGTATACCTCACAATCTCAGAAATAAAGGTACAAAAGCTGTCACTGAGACAGTACCCTTTCAAAAGGTACACCACTGTACCATATTTACCCCTAAAGGGTGCATATAAGTACCGTAAAGGTACATATTAATTCCTAAAAGGTACACATTTGAAAAGGCACCACCCTAGTGACAGCTTTTGTACCTTTTTTCTTAAGAATACTATATGTAGTAGGTATACTAATATGCATGTAGCAAAGGTATAAGTGCACTATTTCAATACTTCTTGAGACTAAATTGTCCCACCTTTTTAGTTCATAAAAGAATACTTTTAAGTGTTCCAGTAGTGAACTTTAACCAGAAGTAAAATCAGTTCATAATGTGTACTATACTACAAGTGAACTTATATTATTTACTGTAATGCCGAGTTCACACTGCACGATTTTAGCCCGATTTTTCACTCGCCGACAGGTTTTGCGAAATCGCCGACAAATGCCTGAAATCGGAGGCAAATCGGTGCTCATTCACGCGAGTGACAGTCACGCAGTGTGAATGATCAAAGACGCAATCTGAGGGAATCGCCGACGTGTCGCCGACGCCCGCAAAATATTTGGCATGCTAAATATCTGGAGCTGTCGGCGATTCACAATCACGCTGTGTGCAATAAATTCTGACTGAAAAACACATCGGCGATGGCAAAGTTATGCAGTGTGTAACCTCCTGTCGCCGATCCATCGTGCAATGTGAACACAGCAGCAACTGAATGCTACCTCAGATAGTCATGCAGTGTGAAAACCACGGTGACCCGACGACTTTGAAAATCGTGCAGTGTGAACGCGGCATTATTTTTTACTAGTTTTAAACTTCTAGCCCACGGTTTAGTTTATGAACGTACACTGAAGTATACTGTCAGTAAACTACTAGTTTAGTTGTTGTATTACACTTGTAAGTAAACACAAGCCAAGTATATTTAGAATACTTAATTATACTTTAAGTATATCTCAAAATCAAAAGATTATGTATAAGTAGGCCAAGTAAACATAGACTTATAAGCTAAGTATACTTCAGTATAATTTTGCTAAGGATATCTCTAATGAATACTTTAAAAACAGATTGCAAGTATGCTCATTTTTAATGTTTAAAAAAAGTATACATATAGCACACTTGAATAAACGTTTTATTTTGCATGAAGAATACGAGGACAGTTTATGACCATTTTGTGGTTTTATTTTTCTGACAATTAAGCATATTTTCAGTGAAATTCTCAGTTACGACAATGAAACATTTTACTTTTGAGTTTCTTTTTTGGGTAACGACAGTTACTCACAATGCTGATTCCTATTCCTGTATTTCAGTGTTATGTATTGTATACTTTAATTTAATTTTTTTTATATTTATTAATTTTTACAAATTATTTTTGCATAATGGAAATGAGAATTAATTACAATGAAAATCACGTCAAAATAGAAAAAAAACTGGCTTTTTTTGTTTTTATACAAAATATGTTTTTTGATTTTGCATTGAAATATGAGGTTCGGTGAGGTTCCCCCATTAAAACGTTCTGTGTTACTTACTTCAGCTCTTGAGCGATGGCTGCGATCTGCTCCACTCGGTCCTGGTGGGCAGCCAGGTCGCTCTCAAACGCCTCGTGCTTCCTCATCAGAGCCCTGATCTCCATCAGAGAGGCCGTCTCATAGTCCTTCTGAGACAGCAGGTGCTCCTTTCCTGCAAACAGAGGCGTCAAATCACAAATGCAAGAATGGTCGCGCGCTCTGAAATGATTATAGCATAGAGATGTATGAAGCTCAGCTCACACAGAGAGTCGATTTCAAACCAAGCAGCTTTCTGTTGGTTGGTTTTCTGTTGGATCCGTGCAATTTTGCAGTAAAACTCACCTACTCACTAGTCCACTTTAACAGCCTCTTGCAAACTTTCCATCTTGTAGATTTTAATTACAGATTGAAAAGTTGTTGGAAGCTTAGTGTTGGTGATGCTGTCATGTGACCGTGGTGCACTTCGTTTATAGCCTAACTTAAGATTCTTAATTCTGTTGATTGTTCTTAGGCTTCAAAGTTCATTTGTGAAGATCTTGATGCACAAAACATCTAAGAATTGTAAACTTTTGTTGCGATATCTTTCGCACTCACATGAAATTCCAAATCACATGGATTCCAATTAAAATTACTGGACTTCGCCTAAAAAAATGGCCAAACAATGATAAATGTGACCGCACCTTATGGCAGACTGGTGTCAAGAGCTCAGAGTTTAACCTTTATATGAAAACAGTGGTGTATGCAATATAAAAATCACACATATTTGTGACCCTGGACCACAAAACCAGTCATAAGTGTCATAATTTTTCAAAATTGAGATTTATACATCATCTGAAAGCTGAATAAATAAGCTTTCCATTGACTTAATGGTTTGTTAGGATAGGATAATATTTGGCCGAGATACAACTATTTGAAAATCTGGAATCTGAGGGTGCAAAAAAATCTAAATATTGAGAAAATCATCTTTAAAGTTGTCCAAATGAAGTTCTTAGCAATGAATATTACTAATCAAAAATTAAGTTTTGATATATTTACAGTAGGAAATTTACTAAATATCTTCATGGAACATGATCTTTACTTAATAGCCTAATGATTTTTGGCATGAAAGAAAAATCGATAATTTTGACCCATACAATGTATTGTTGGCTATTGCTACAAATATACCCCAGCGACTTGAGACCGCTTTTGTGCTCCAGGGTCACATTTTATTGTACAATAGTAGATGTTTAACCAATGTCTGATTTTTTTGTAAAGTTCCTAAAAGTGTGAAATGAACCAGTATTTTTGGGAATAGGAATGCTAACGCATAGCTTTCTCCAGGTATTGTAGACATTGTATGTTTATGTATCACACATTTTATTGTACAATAGTAGATGTTTAACCAGCGACTGACTCTTAAAAGTGTAAAATGATCATGCATTTTTGGGAATGGGAATGCTAATGCATTATGCATTATGTTTAAACTCTTGTGTAAACTAAGCATGGTTACCTGTGGTCCAGGACTCATGCAGGGAGCATTTCTGCTTGAACTTCTCCGCCAGATGATCAAGTCTCTCCAGACGACGGATCTCGGTGAGGAGCCATTCCTCATAACCCTTCTCTACCTGCTCTAGACCTTTCCATGCATTAGCAATATCCTACAAACAAACAGAGTTTCTCAGTGAGCTTCAAATCGCAACATAATCAATTAGTCAAATCAAAATCAATTGATCTGATTGGCTGAATTTCTAGAAGTGGGATTGGCTGTCAAGTTACAAGTAGTTTTCTACCAGACTGCTGGTTAGGAAGACTTAGGAACAGTATGCAGAAGATGCTTTTTGAAAGGGTCAGAACAGCCAGACGAAAAAAATAAAACTTTTCAGATGGTTTTGCGTGACTTACCGACACCATCTTCCCCTCGGAGGGCATGAAGGCCGGGCGGTTGCTCAGGCGGAGTTTGGTCTGCAGGGTGTTGAAGTTGATCTCCAGCTGGCATTTCTCCTGAACGCGTGGAGGCTTGTGGATGCGCCTGTAGTCGCGGAAATCCTCCAGCTTCTGCTGCATGGCACGCATGGTCTGCTCCGCCACGCGGTTCTCCAGCCATGGGATGGTGCGACGGATCCACTCCAACAACTACAGAGAGATGGAGGAGTTAGAGACATGAGACAATGTAGGTCTTAGAGGGAACAGGATTAGGGCTCTTACAAAACTCTAGTGAGATGCCACCTAGATGGCTACCAGCCTAAATGTTTGCAGTATTGCGTGCATCATTTGCACAAAAACACTGACATTTTCATCCAAGATGGCTGACGGATTAAAGGAAAATGTCAACCCATAAAACACAAAATATATTTTTCTGGCCAAAATATATTTTAAATAAATGTTGTTAACAATAAAGTTAAATGGAATATATTTCCGATATTGAAAAATATATTTAGTTTCAAACTTCATACGCCAAAATGTATTTCAGCAGCAAGAAAATACATTTGCAATCTTATAGTAACCCACATTTCGTCTAAATGCAAATGTGGATGGAACAGCCTACTAGAAATCAAAATGATTCATTAATGTTTATTCTTTAATATTTTTTTCAAATGTATTATATGTTCACACATGCTGTAGACAAGAAATAAAGTTTTTCTTCAAATGTGAAATGTGAATGTATTTTCTTGGATTGAAAGTATAGGGAAAATACATTTTTTAAATTCTTTTAAATATATTAGTGCTGTCAAATGATTAATCGCGATTAATCGCATCCAAAATCAACGTTTTTGTTTACAAAATAATATATATATATATATGTGTGTGTGTGGTGTATATTTATTATTTATATATAAATACACACACATGCATGTATATATTTCAGAAAAATATTTTATGTTTGTATATTAAATATATGTATATATAATATAAATTATATGAATATAAATATTTTCAAAATATATACTGTATGTGTGTGTATTTATATATACATAATAAATATACACAATACACACACATATATTATGTAAACACAAACTTATATTTTGGATGAGATTATGTTTTGAAACATTAAAAAAAAATGTTGGCCATTTTTGTATATTTGTAAATATATTATATGTAAAGTCTGTAAAACCATCAAACCACAACAGCTTGACCTGTAGAAACCAGCTTGCGGACTGGTTAGGCTGGTAAATTCAGTTTAGAGTTAATGCGCCTGTATCCAAGTCTCCTCACTTCATTTGCTTTAATTTGCATGTTCATTTACGCTGGAGAGCGTCTGGAAGCTCAATACATTACTGAAATCAATTTCCTTCAGTCATTTACACAAACCGATCCCAGTTTACACATCTTACACTGTAATAATGAAAAACATTAGTTTGAGAAATTTCATTCAAATCTGATTTGACTTGTGGTGACTTTTACCTGCTCGGCACCGGCGAAAGCATGGTAAAAGCAGGACACGTAGGTCATGATGGCTTTCTCATCAGGTTTAGGGGTGTTGACGATGTCTGAGCACAAAAAGAAACACAGTATCAAGTTGAGTTCAACCAAAATCCCTTTACAGCAAGTCTGTGGTCATCTTGGCCAACAATTATCTATGATAAAAATCTATTTGTCAAGATGAGATTTCAATAACATTCAGTAACATTTCAAATCAGCACTAAAATCCCACAACACAGGTATCACAAATTATAATCATAAATCTAGTCATATTTATGAAATTTGAGTCCAGTTTAAGCTCTAAAGCAGCTCTACAGAAGATAATAGTATTAATATTGAGCTCAATACAGTTCAATGTTGATTCAGTTCATCAATTATCAAACAAATTCAAGCAGCTCTACAGAAGACAACAGTGTCATTACTCAACTCAATTTAGTTCAACGTTGATTCAATTCAGTTCAATAACAGTGTTAATGTAGTAAAATTCAACAATTATTTAAAAACTAATTTAAAAAATAATCATTTCAGTGCTAAAGCAGCGTTACAGAAGCCAATAGTACTGATATTCAGTTCAATATAGTTCAATGTTGATTCATTCAAATAACAGTGTCAGTGTTGAAAAGTTAATCAATTATGAATCTAATTCAATTTAAACTGTAAAGCAGCTATCATTATTCAGCTCTATAGTTTAGTGTTGATTCAATTTAGTTCAATTAACAGTGATATTGTTGTAAAATGCATCATTTATTAAACAAATTCAATTTCAGCTCTACAGAAGCCAATTAATATTCAGCTCAATTCAGTTCAACGTTGATTCAATTCAGATCAATAACCGTGTCAATGTTGCAAAGTTCATCAATTATGAGACAAATTCAATTAAACTGTAAAGCAACTCTACAGAACACACTAGTACCGTTATTCATCTCAATTCATTTCAATGTTAATTTAGTTCATTTGAATAACAGTATTGATGTTACAAAGTTAGTCATTATTCAGCTCAGTTCAATTAAAAGTGATATTGTTGTAAAATGCATCATTTATGAAACAAATTCAATTTCAGCTCTACAGAAGCCAATTAATATTCAGCTCAATTCAGTTCAATGTTGATTCAATTCAGATCAATAGCAGTGTCAATGTTGCAAAGTTCATCAATTATGAGACAAATTCAATTAAACTGTAAAGCAGCTCTACAGAACACACTAGTATCGTTATTCATCTCAATTCGTTTCAATGTTAATTTAGTTCATTTGAATAACAGTATTGATGTTACAAAGTTAGTCATTATTCAGCTCAATTCAGTTCATGTTTTGCACTCATTCAATATCTTCAGGGCAGATGAAACAATAATATACCGAATATTAATTGTCTTTTAAAGCCCAACTGAGCAAACCAAACACAAGTTCAAGTTTTAAACTGAAATTATACTAAACACTACTTTACATGTGCATAAAGAGTAAACAGGCTCTGTCAAACAGACTCATATTGTATGTTACAGGATCTCATCTACCAGAACAGGATTGATTTCAGAGGCAATCTTTGACTCACCTTCAGCGTCCAGCATCTTCGGGATGTCCAGGTACTTCTCTGCCACCTCAAACGCAGTGTTCAGGTTTCCAATAGGGTCGTCCTTCAGAGGATCAACAAAATCATTCACTCCATTGCACTTTCCATCACTATGGTACATTTTCTTGCTATGTGACTCTTTTTAAAAGCATTACGGACACATGCTGTCATTTTTAAGAGTTTTATGCTTTATATTGTACTCTATTTGTAGACAGTGCCTTATATAGGACTATCAGTTTTATAATGAATAATTTGAGATTTCTGAATCAATCATTTGAGCCTGCAAATCATAATCTGACTGGATAAAACAAGAGCTTTGGACTCAAGGATAAACCTTTTGAGTTAAGAGGATTGAAATGAAAACACTGTGTGTTGAATTGGCATAAAACTGCACACAGGGAATAAATGTAAAAGATTTGAAGAGCGAGTGACTGGTAGAAAAGACAGAAGCGGCACCTTTCTGAGTTTAGAGTAGTCGATGAGGTCTGGTCTGTGTCTGTGGATGAGGGCGCACAGAGCGAGGCCGTCCTTCCAGCTGACAACAACACAGACAACATATTAGAAAACCTCTCAGAGAGTACTGATCAGCCATTAAGAAAGATTTTAGGTTCCATTTGTAACATTAGTTAAATGCATTATTTAAAAAGAACCAACAATGAAAAATACTTGAAAAGCATTGATTTATCTTGGTTAATGTTAATTTCAACATTTACTGGTACATTGCTAAAGTTAAAAGTTGTATCTGTTAATATTATTTAACATACATGAGCTGACAGTTGAACAGTTTATAGTATTTTTATTAACCTTGTTAAAGTGGTCATATGATGCGATTTCAAGTTTTCCTTTCTCTTTGGAGTGTTACAAGCTCTTGGTGCATAAAGAAGATCTGTAAAGTTGCAAAGACTAAAGTCTCAAATCCAAAGAGATATTCTTTATAAAAGTTAAGAGTCAACCACGCCCCCCTAAAACGGCTCGTTCTAACACGCCCCCACATGTCTACATCACTATGTGGAAATATTAGCATAATGCCGCCAAAATGTGCACGCAAAGAAAGGCGGCGTGGTTTCAGGAACAGCAGCAGTGTTGATGCAGCTGTGTCAGGGAGACGCTGTGTGTTTCAGTGCGAAAGCAAAAGCACTTTATTTGGCCTTCCGGAAGTAGAAGCAATTAGGAATCATTGGTTAAGATTTATTTACAACAGAACAGTACAACCCAGATGTTCGAATTTGTGCAACACATTTTATGGACGACAGTTTTTTGAACCTAGAAGAGTACAAGGCTGGCTGTGCACAAAGGCTATTTCTAAAAAAATAAAAAAAAGGTCAATTCAGACTTTGCTATGACAATCTGGCACTTCTGAATCAGTGACTGTAAGTATGTTTTGTTATTAGTTCAAGCATTTGCTATTGACTGTTCAAATGCAGAGTTTCTGTCACGCGACTCTGTTGCATTTTCAGGCTTGAACTGATGGTAAAACTAACGACATTATTAACTGTCTTGATGTTTACTTTGAAAGCTGAAGCTCGCGATTATGGTAAGGGGCGTTACATTTCCGACGCGTGCTTGTGGTGTTTGGCCAATCACAATGCACTGGGTCAGCTGGCCAATCAGAGCAGACTGCGCTTGTCAAAGGAGGGGGCTTTGTTGAAAACTACATGTTTGAGAGAGGCGGGGCATAGAGGACCTACAGTAATGTACAGTAATGTGAAAATAATGTGTTTTTTGAACATTAAAGCATGTCAACATATTCTGTTACACCAAATACACAAAATCTTTAAAATAGCATCATATGACCCCTTTAATTTTAGATAATGCATTAACTAACGTCAACTAATGGGACCTTATTGTTAAGTGTTACCATAAAAATAAATAATAAATCTGTGTTTTTAAACTATAAGTACTGGTATAAATATTGTCAATATTGCCGTTGATAGTATTTGGTATCACAACTGAATATAAAGTGCAATAAAGAATGTTTTTCAAACACATGTGAGTTGAATTGAATTGCAGAGGTTTCTGAAAGGCATAAAGACAGCATAAAGTAAACACAGAGAAATTTGACTGAGAACTTTGTTTATATTTGGTCAAACAAAAAAAGTATTATGATTTACATGTACAATGAGTATTAGGATGTCCATTTTAAACATTTACATTTAATCCAATCAAATAAAATACCATTAATTAATCACATATACACTACCATTCAAAGGTTTGGAGTAAGGTTTTATATATTTATTTATTCATTTGTTTGTTTGGGGAAGAAATTGATACTTTTATTCAGCAAGGATGCATTCACTTCTCCAAAAGTGACAGCAAATACATTTATAATGTTACAAAAGATTCTGTTTCAAATAAATGCTGTTCTGAACTTTCTATCTGTTTGAACATTCTCTTGAGATCTGACTGTGTCTGTCATGACTCTCACCTGATGTGGAAGTTCTGTACGTTGACGTTCCTGTAGGGGGCTGTCTTCCTCTGACACCACAGCAGCAGACCCTCTTTAGCAGACGTCTCTGTGGAGACACACACACACACACACACACAACAGAAATCCATTAATATGAAGTGATAATGAGTGTTTACTTAGTAACATGAACAGTCCGGTTGTGTCATGAATGTCTCTGACAAAATGCAAATGTGTGTTTGTACCCTCCACAGAAATGTCCTGGATAGCGAAACGGAGAATGATGGTCCAGATCATTCCCAGAGTCATTTTCAAATTGCCATCAACAATCTCTGCAGAGCAAGAGAGAGAATTTTGGATCAAGTTAATATATATAAGTTAGATCAAGTTAAAAATAACATTATAGTATATATATATATATATATATATATACAGTGGGGCAAAAAAGTATTTAGTCAGCCACCAATTGTGCAAGTTCTCCCACTTAAATATTCTTCAAAGAATCCTGAAAAAATAATAAGCAGCTCAACTTTTTTCAACATTGATAATAATAAGAAATGTGCTTTCTGAAGACTGGAGTAATGATGCTGAAAATTCAGCTTTGCATCACAGAAATAAATTACAGTTTAAAATATATTCTAATAGAAAATGTCTATCTTAAAATGTAACAAGGAATAATCTAAAATTGTAATGTTTTAAACGTCTAATAATGCAAATGTGAACAAAATCGCCTGTTAAACCCTATTGCTTCAATTTGCACATTACAGCATGTTTCTGCAGGTTTCCAGAGATGATTACAATTCAGAGATCTTATAAATATCCCTCACTTCCAGCGTGTGCGATGCCAAGAAGCAGTGTGTGCCATTGATGTGGGTGTTACGGGGCAAAGCTGCTGGATGTGTTTGTTTGTGCTGAGCGGCAGAATAAAGTATGAAAGAGGAGGAGGAGTGATGAACAACAGGACATGTAGGAGTTCCTGATGAGAGAGACATGGATGGAGAGGTTGTAAGAGGGAAGGAGGGAGGATTGAACAGAGATGGAAGCCAGGGGTCACTGTAGGGCCGAGTGAGTGGGACGCACCGCACAGAGACCAAATATAGACTGCACAAACTAGAGAGATGAGGAGAGACGAAGAGAAAAGACACGGGAATGAGAGATGAGACCAAATGAGAAGAAAGGAGAAGAGCTAAAATGAGACAAGAACAGAAGGGGAAATGAAAGATGAGACGAAAACAGAGGGGAAGAGACGATACAAGCTGAGAGAGGAGAGAAGAGATGTGTATAAAAAGAAGAAATGAGATAATGAAAGTTGAGATGAGAAATGAGAAGAAAATAGAAGATGAAATAAGATTAGATTAGAAAAGAACATAATGAGAGTTGAGAGAAAAGAACGAGATTAGGCCAAATGAGAAGAAAGAAGGGAAGAGAAGAGATAATAATAGTTGAGAAAAAAAGAGACGAGAAGAGAAAAGAGAATGAGACCAAATGAGAAGAAAAGAGACAAAATAAGATAAGAACAGAAGGTAAAATGGCACAGGAGAAGAGATAATGAAAGTTGAGAAAGAGGAGAAGAAAAGAAATGAGATAATATAAGTTAGAGACAAGAGAATGAGAGATAGGACCAAACGAGGAGAGAAGTGACCAAATTAGAAGAAGAGAAGATGGGAATAGATGAGAAAAGAAAAGAGAAATCAAAGTTGAGAGGAAAAAAGAGCCAAAATAAGACAGGGACAGAAAAGAGGAAGAAAGATGAGACGAGATGAAAACAAGCGATAACACGAGTTGAGAAAGAAGAGAAGAAATAATCAAGTTGAGACCAAATGAGAAGAGGAGAAAGAAAAGAGATAACAAAAGTTGTGAACAGAAGATAGAAGAAGAGACGTGAGAAATAGAGGGAGATGAGACAAATGAGAGACGAGACAAGAACACAAAGGTAATGAGAGACCATTATTTTACCATTAAAAACATATTAACAAACAAAAAACTAATTTTATAACCCACTACCAGTTAAAAAAGAGGTGTCATCCTCCACAAACCCTTATTTACACACCACTTACTCAGCAGAATAACTTCATCTCCTCGCCACGAGCAAACTGTTCGAGATATCAAAAATCCCTTCGCAATTTAGCAGCCCCAATGTCTTGAGATCATGATCGCTGTTCACTCGATAGTGTTCATATTCCAGTCAAATCCTAGATTCAACTAATGCCTTAAAGGGGTCATATGATGTTGCTAAAAAGAACAGTATTTTGTGTATTTGGTGTAATGAAATGTGTTTATGTGGTTAAAAAAACCTTATTTTCCACATACTGTACATTATTGTTTCTCCTCTATGCCCCGCCTTTCTGAAACGTGTCGATTTTTACAAAGCTCATCGGTCTGAAAAGCGAGGTGTGCCCTGATTGGCCAGCTATCCAGTGCATTGTGATTGGCCGAATATCTCAAGCGTGTGATGGAAATGTTACGCCCCTTACCATACTGTGATGCCGTGTCCCAGCAGGAGGAGCACATCCCATCATCGGTTCTCTTTTAGTAGTTCAGTCACTGTACTGTTAGGAGTAACTGAATAACTCGGGATATTGGTTTATTTCGCGTCAGTGGGAGTGTCAGGCACGTTTATAAACAGAATAACTTAAGTAATTTGTGGATTAGTGCATACTGGATACGTGAACCGTTTCAAACGATTCAGTTTGATTTGGTGAACTGGTTCGACCGGTTCACTAAGAAGATCCGGTTAAATAGAACGATTCATTCGCGATCCGAACATCACTAGACGAGACAAAACCAATAAAACCAATTACAAACGAGGCATTTGTTGCATCCAGTGGGGACATAATTATTGATTATAATGACTTACTGTCGCGTTGCATCGCGCCACGTAAACACAAAACCATGTCTGCATTTGTTTTCGGAGAAACAACAAACAACAATCCCTACTCTACACTGCTCAAAACGCACGTTTGAATCATCAGTGGCAAATTATTAAAATATAAAAAACGTACTTACAGTCTGTGAGTCAGAACAGCCAGACTGTCCTTGCAAAGTTGGAACTGCCCAACAAAGTTGGAACTGTCCAAATGCCACAGATGCATTAGGCTACTGGTTCAGAAAACAGTCCTCATCCATCCTCCATAAAATGCACTGCACACATCTGAATATTTGGGTTGAAGTGTTCTGGAACAGTGTTGTAAATACAACTTAACCACTGATTTCTAGTCGTGTCCTCTTTTGGAAGACCAAACAAAGTAGTTTCGCTTTCACAACGAAACACACAGCGACTCCACAACATGGCGGCGGCGGCAACAATACAACAGCCAGAATAAAAGTTACGCCTACTTTCTTTGCGTGAACATTTGGGCGGCGTTATGCAAATCTACCCACATCGTGACGTAGATATGTGGGGCCGTGTTTAAACGAGCCGTTTTAGGAGGGCGTGGACGAGTCTTAACTTTTATAAAGAATATCTCTTTGGATTTGAGACTTTAGTCTTTGCAACTTTACAGATCTTCTTTATGCACCAAGAGCTTGTAACACTCCAAAGAGAAAGGAAAAATTTTAATCGCATCATATGACCCCTTTAATAAGACTGACCTTATTGACTTCCTGACCTTCCATTTCAGCTCTATCAATCTTCCAGATAGCTGATTTTGTCTGTCCAAGCAAAAAGTTGGAAAAAGTGCAAATCTCCTTTTTATTGCGAGAGTATTCATACCCATAAATGAACACAGTTTTTGAGAAATTTAAACCTAACCCATTGAAAATTCCATTTAAGATATTAAAAAGAGGAAATGATTTTCAACATTCACAAAAAAAACATGAAAAACAGTATCAGGTTTTTTTGCACACAGTAAAAGACCAAGAGAGAAGAAAAGTGAGATGACGCGACATGAGAAGAGATGGCATGAGAGAAAGAAGAGAGACGAGAGTGTGAGAGATGAGACAGGAAGAGATGAGAGGAGACAAAATAAGATACAAAACAAAGAAAAGAGAAAACTGGTGAGATGTAGGCAGATGCAATGACAGAACCTGGAAAGGAGCTGATGGAGAGAAACACAAAATAAAGACTCGTCATTTTGCTTCCTTCTTTCATGTTCAGATAGAACCCTCTTCTAATTAAGACCCATTTCTTCCAGAGTTCTTATTGTTTCATTATAGGTTCTTCAGATCAGTGTTTTGTTTCTGGGTTCTTTAAAGAACCAGTCCTGCGATAGTTTTCAAAGAACTACAGCCAAACTAGGCTTCGCGAGGGGTTCATGAGTTGACGAAAAGACTAACTTCTTTTACGTAAAAATGAAAAGAAATCATTTTAAAATAACAACACTCAAAATAAAACACTTAATTTGTTTACTTGCATGTCATGAGACCAATAAGCAACATCAGAGAACCATAAACATGCAAATGTGTTGTTAAACTATTGAAATATTAACTTAAAGGTCCCCTGAAATGCTTAGAAACACGCAGCGTTACTCTATGTGTTGACGTCATTTTAACTGAAACAGGAAGACAGGGCGGGACATATCAAGCAGCCCCGCCCCTTTTTAAAATAGCCAATAGCGTTCGTTTATATCACAGCTTGGGCTAGAGCCGTTCAGAGCTCCGTAAAGCCGCATTTGACAGGGTGTGCCAGCCACAATCTCAGCCATATTGCTATAAAATATAACATTCTGTGTAGAATTCAAATAGCTCCAATACATTTTGTGGTCTGCGCCGACTCGCCAATGTGATCCGCTCCGTGCTATCGTGTCTCTGGACCGGAGCAGAGCGTGTGTGCGGTGCGGTGGTTAGCGTGACACAGCGCGAAACCAGATTAATTTTTTTCCTCAATGGAAAGCATATTTACACTGTTTGAATCGTTCCCTGTCCCCTATATAGTGCACTACGTGCCATTCACTGTACAGAAAATACTAATTCTGTGGACAAGTGACTATTTTATAGTGTAGGGGGCGGGCACTTCGGATTCTAGAGAGCATTTGATTGGACAGAAAGTTAGATGAGAAGCTGAAGTACGATGTGACATCAAAAAAATCGTTGAGCTGTTTGGCGGAAGTGACGAACTGCAAGCTTTGAATGCTTATATCTTCTAAATGCGAATTTTGTCACTGTTTTGGAGCACACTGGCTTATAGACTAACATATTGATACTAACACCCAAAAAAACTTTAATTTTGATTTCATGGGGACTTTAAAATCTCAGGGGGGAATTCAAGGTTAAATGGGTTCAGCGGACAAAAACAGTTGGGAATCCCTTAATATAAAGTTGTATATAAAGAGAGATTAAAAGAAGTTCAGGCTGCGAAAGCCTCTTTGGTTTTAGAGGAGGCCAAATGGAGAGGAAATGGA